GATTTTTTTTTAATTTGTTGGTAGGTAATGCATTTGTCTTAAAATATAAAATAAAGAGGTGAAACTTTTTTCAAAGCCTCCTTGATGGTGGTGGAATAACTCGAACCATGATTTATTCTTAATTTTTGACTCACCCTGTGTGTTAATTGAGTAATGGCATAGAAATTGCTTACACCCTATACGAAAGAGGCTTCTTTTGCGAGCATTTTGTTTTTTATTCATTGATTTATCTCAAAAATTTTCCAAATTACAGCTTTTTTTGCTGATACCTTACGCTTATCCCACAAATTAAATTTATTGAAGGATCAGAGTACTCAAAATAGATTGGGTTGTACTCTGGTAGGATCAAATTGTCTTGAAAAAAACAAATGCCGTTGCCATAGCAACTGATAATTTGTTGTATGCCCCCATATTTGACCATTTGTATCGTTGTGTCATTAATTAAGTGTCTTGTTTTATTGACTAAAATTACATAAAATGCCTCAAAAAAATCCTGAACAAGTAGCAAGATTAGTTGCGTTAGTAAACGATGATGTTCTTGAATGCGGTAGTTAAATAGTTTATATGTAATATGTATAAGTGGAACAGACAACTAAAAAAAGATGTATAATACTTCATATGACCACTAATTTTACATTCAGAATTTAAACTAAAATTTGGTATATTGAGAGACCATACAAAATGAAGAAGTCAGAACTTAAATTCTCACAGTAGGCACCTTTCCAGTGGCGGGTTATCATCTGATTTTATCTTGTCATAGTAAACAAATAATATAAATATATTGTCTTCTCTGTATGGTAGTCTTGAAAAACCAATACCAAATAGGCGAATGATATCTAATGGTTTAAATGCTAATCGTTCATTACTCTAGTTCAAGAGTTGCTCATTCCTTTCATGGAGAACGCGGCGATGAGACACACACGTTGATTGATTGAACTACTTAGAATAATGAAACTACCTACCTACATTTATTTTGGGATTCGTTCAATGAACTCAATGTATTGATTTGACATTTTAATTCATGTATGAAAAATCCCACAAGCCGCGTGATTTCGTCATTATGACAACGAAAAAACTTTTCCAGCGACTATAACGCAGGCCCGGACTGGCCCGACGGGCAACCGGGCAAATGCCCGGTGGGCCGGCGTCAAACCGGGGCCGGGGGGCCGCGATAGATAATTTTGTGAGGCACTGATTGTACACGAATATCGCTTTCATCACAGATTAGTCTCATAATCTAAATACAAATAGGCAGATTCTCAATTGTAATATTCGAAAACCTAAATATCTGTGCTGTTTTTCTAAGAGAATCATATAAGCGAATGGATGTATGGACACAAAATACTCAGAGCAAGCAACATAAACGATTGAATACTATAGGTGAGACCAGATGGTCATCGATCTGATGCCTTGAAAAATGTTTGGCGACTATGATGAACTAAATAGTGATTCTCCTAAAGGTTTTTATGTTGAATTGATTCTAACCCTAGAGCATCTCTCTAGTTCACAGCATTACAACGCAACTTTGAGAAAAAAGCCAACGATATATTGGAAAAATGTTTAGCTTTCGAAACCATTATGACAGCCATTATATTTTTACGAATATTCAAATACACGAGTTCTCTATCTAAATACTTGCAAACAGAAGGTTTAGATGTTTTACAATCTTACGAAATGGCGATGCACGTTTTAGAAGATATTAAAAATATATCTAGAGATTTTGAAAATATTCACAAATCAGCAAGTAGATTTGCTTCAATTGCTAACGAAGAACTAGAGAGACAAAATTCTGAATCAGTTGTAGAATATTCTCTACCAGAAAAAAGAGTTCACAAGCCCAAAATTTTATCAGGTGGATATAATACACGTATCACTTTGAAAACTGCAACAGAAAAATATATGGTTGAAGTCCATCATGTCATTTTTGATATGGTCGCTAGTACTCTAGAACGCAGATTTCAACCACATGGACTACTCAATGCTGATATAAGCTGTATGCATCCTGATAACTTCAAAGAACTCATTGATTCGGGAATATCGTTACAAGCTTTCACGAAGTTGAGTAATTTACTCAACAAATTTATGCCGGATATCACAGCAGAGATCCTAAGGGCCGAAATGGTTGATTTTGCAAACAAATGGCAAACACTCTCAAAAACTTTGTGTGAGCAATATGCGGTTTTATCATCGGAAGCAGAAGTAGATAACGATGAAGACATTGAAAAGCTCGGATCCGATTATATTAAATGTAGCAAGAGTATAAAGGGGTTGTGCAAAAATTGTTTATATTGCTGTTATAGGTTACTGCTGAAATATAACCTATATTGTTCCGCGTATGCGAATTTATTCGCTGCGTACAAGTTAGTACTAACATTTTCATCAACCCAAGTTTCATGTGAAACTGGATTCTCTAAACTGAAAATAATAAAGAAACATGCTGAGGAGTTCGATGACACAAGAGAAGCTGAAAGCCTTTATGTTGATGTCTGTGGAAAAGACAATATTAAGCAAATTGAAAAATTCAGATATAATAGAGCAATAATGGCACCAGCTTTGAGGAGAAATCTAGAGTATATTTGAAATTCACAATTTCACTATAACTAAATGTATCAGTTAATTTATTTTTTCTTATTTATGTTCTGTTCTATCTATTGTCGGAGGAATGAAAATGTTTTCATTTGATTTTTTTATGAATAAACATAATGAAATAACAATTATTTATACCGAAGAAAACAGACCGGTCAAAGATAATGCCCGGTAGCAAAATAGTAGCCAGTCCGGGCCTGCTATAACGGTAACATTTGAAAGCATATGACAACCAGCCATAAACAAATTTTCGATGAATTAAATTGTGTAACCGAATTACTCTCTAGCTTTTTTTTAGTCGAAGTAAACTTGGCATTTATAATTCAAAGGACCCTGCACCGCAGTAGGGGGAAAATTGGCTTTCGGTGGATTTTCTCGAATTTTGTATATATCGTAAAACTCGTGATGCTGATCAGATGTCACAATTATCAACGCTCTGAATCCAATAGTTTGGTGCTGAAGTTGACTTTTTCAAAATTTCGAATGGCCATTGTGAATTTTTCTTTCTGAATACCAAAATCAAATCGACTACGTTTTGTTTGTCCATGTGGCCGGTGAAAATCCGCTATAGACTTCAATAATATCTGCACGTACTCACGATATACAGAGTTGGTCCAAAAATAGCAAATGTTACAATTATTTCCGAAAAAGTGAGCAGTTGAAATCACTTCGTTTTTGGACATTTCATAGTATACTATTAACATCGATTCATGATGATTGCATTTCTTAAATCAGACTACATATCATACACAAGATGTTCAAGTTTCTATCACACCGCACCCGTCCTGATATCCATATCCATCGAATGATTGGAATCCCGTAAAACTTGGTAAGGAAGTTGATAATTCGTGATGACAATATTTTATGCGAATACCTGAATTATACAGGGTGGTTGTCAGAGTAGTAGTGGAGTTTTCTTGGAGTTGACGTACTCAGGATTTTTATCTTGTTTCTCAATTGCTCTGGAGGACTATACATATGTCTGATTGAAAAAATGCAATCATCATGAATCGATATTGATATTAGTATGCTACGAAATGTCCAATAATGAAATCAATTCATTTTTCGTAAATAATTGGAACATTTGCTATTTTTGGACCAACTCTGTATATCGTGAGTACGTGTAGATATCATTGAAGTGTAAAGTGGATTTTCACCGGCCACATGGACAAACAAAACGTAGTCCATTTTATTTTGCTATTCAAAAAGGAAACTTCACAATGGCCATTCTAAATTTTGAAAAAGTCAACTTCAGCACCCTGTATAATCTAAACTATTGAATTCAGAGCTTTGATAATTGGGACATCTGATCAGCATCACGAGTTCTACGATATATCTGAAAAAACTGCCAGAAAAAATTACTCGTCTTACGGACTCGTCGTTTTTTCAGATGCAGCTTTTTTCGTCAAATTGCCAGGCAATAATACAACTCTTATTTATACATGTCAAGTTTACATTGACAAAAAAAAAGCTCTCTTGTGATTATAAGTGGAAAAAAACTGTCGTTCTCGTATAGTTTTTGGAGAAAATATTCCTGTCTTACTTTCTTCAGGGCTTATTCGAATCCTCCTCATGAGATCAATATTTTCATAAGTAATATCACGATGTTCGAATATTCGATATAATTTTGTCTCTTCATTACTAATTTGATACCTAAAAAAAAACTTTCAATACGTACGTCTCTTCCAGCATCTTCCAGCATCCTATTGGTAATAAACCAGTACCAAATCCTAATTCTTCTTCTATTCCGCTTTGTTTTGTCTTAGCTTAGGTAGAATTTTTTGAGGTTTAGTGGAAGAGCGACTCAGTAGCACTTGTGCAAACTAAGTTGAACTTCGCCTTTTGTTTTTCAGCAACTAGCTTTTTAATCGAAACAATATACAGGGTGTCCTGAAATTATGCGCAAAAAATCAGGGGGTGATTTCACATGATAAAATAAGAAATTCATTTTTTATCCGGAACTGCATAGTTTTCAGCATTCAGTGTAATAAAACTCTCAAAAAAGATCGGTTTTTCATTCCAGTTCCAATTTAAAAATTGATTAATCAGCCCCTCATGACAAAGAATATCATTACCAAATTTCAAGAGAATCGGTAAAAGGATATTTGAGATATTCATAAAAAAACCGATTTTTTTTTTAAAGTTTAACACACACATCTTGAAAACTATGCATTTCCGGACCCAAGTATATAAAGAACAAATTTCATGTTTTCTCATTCAGAATCATTCCCTTGATTTTTTGCGCATATTTTCCGGACACCCTGTATACCATACGGTCTATTGGCAAATCCAGGACTGCATAGACATTGCAAATTTTCAATTCGAATGAAATTAAATTACAAGTACAAAAGGCAACATCGTGATTCTATTCCAGATATTTTCAAAGTTGAATTAAATAAGTGCTTCAAATAGGGAAATAATTTTTATGAGTAAAAAAAAAACACACCAGGCTATAAAATCGAAAACATTCGATAACAAAATGAAGTAAACCAAAATAAATAATAATAACATAAAAAAATATCACTCGAGGTTGATGGTCCTCATGTTCTGCTTCTCCAGTATCTTTCCTGCGCGCAAGGAGGACATGACGTCATCGCCTCCCTTCATCATGTTTTCTTCCAACACCCTATAACGTTCTATGCGTTTCTTGACTCTGTTCTCGAAATACCTTGAAGAATAGGTGGAAATAATTCATTATTGTTGACATGTAATATCACGATTTTTGAATTGATCGGCCGCTACTTGATGTAAATTCATGGCAAATATAAAAAATTCACAAACGATAAGATTTCCACAAAATGTCGTGTGTTTGAGAATTTCGTGGAAATCTGATAGTTTGTGAATTTTTCCAATATCACGATTTTCTGAATATTCGAGATAATTCTGTCGCTTCATTGTTCACGAAATTGTGTTGCCAAGCAACACCACGAAGCGATCAGGACGTATAATGAATTTCAATTATTTCATTTCTATAAAACTGAAATATGGATCTATTGTCACTATAAAAGCACTTCTTCTCAATTATATTTAATATCTAGTACCCACGATCATGACAACATTATAACAAGTCGCCATCGTTCAAGTTTGAACCCCTTGAGAATTCGCATTCTCTATGTGATGAACATATAAATTCTCTCCCTATTTATTCGACAGAAAACAACTACTTTCGTTGCTTTGCTATATGCCACGACGAACAAAATCTTCTGATGTTGAGAATTTGTATTCTCCTTCAGATAAGAATATGTATCATTCTGAATATTCAACAGGAAACAACCACTTTCCTGGCTATATGCCACGTCGAACATTGAATTATATCTGTTGAACATCCAAAAGGAGAGAATGAACCTAAAACAAGGTACCCTCTCCCTATCATTCACCTCAATATCTCCGGATGACTGTCCAGAAAATCGATCAGCATCCTCTTGGAGATGTAATAGATGTCGGAAGTCTCGACTGCGATGTGCATGTATATTTGCGTGACGTCAGTGGACGTCCAAAGGGACACGAAACCGAATTCTTCCCCATCCTCCAGGTGGCAGAGCTCCTGACCATCTTCGTTGATGACAGCGACAGTGCCTGGCAAAAAAAATAGTTTCAGGTAGTTCTTGGCAATAATAATAATAAAAACTAATCATACTCGTGAAACGAGACAGTTGAATTCATTAATAGCAAACCCATATAACTCCATTATTGGCAAACAATCAGTATTCTACAACGGAATCATTTTATATAATTTATTACGCTATGATTTTTTTATGTTCTGGTTCCCACGAAAAGGAAGATTCTGTAATGTTCAGAGAACATCGTGAGAACCAAGGGAAATTAGGTAGGAATTGGTGTTCTTCTCGAATTTCTGAAGGTTATATGCCTCGGGAAACACCTCCCTTGTCTTTGGAAAGAGATGTTCTGCAGGTCTCCAAAGTGACCACGAAGGGGTGCGAAGCCTCAACTTGACGGGTTAATCTCGCGGGGACTGCCAAGGGAAGAAGAGCATTGCCCATGAAAATATCTATAAAATAGAGCCAGATCGCCAACTTTTCGACGGTGTTCCAGAGAAGTGAGTGAGTTTGTGAGCGAGGCATCACCCACGAGACGAATTTCCTCTTTTTAGTCAGAATCCAACAGTTTCAGGGTATGTTTGGGTGCTGCACTCCAAATATGGGAACAGTATTCCAGGACAGGTCGGATCTGTGCCTTATAGATCATAAGCAGCTGAATGGAAGTGAAATAGCTCCTGGCCCGAAACAGAAAACCAAGTTCTTGGGATGCACTTCCAGCAATTGCTCTCACGTGATTTTACCATCAAGAAAGGTTATTGCTGATAGTGATATCGAGCATCAAAATGGATGTCTTCAAAGGTATGGTTACTCCTGACAAGCTTATGTTGGGCACAGTGAGATCGGCTTTTCTAGAGAAAAGGCATGCTTGTGTTTTTTTTTGCATTGAAATCTACCAATTTATTGGATTTCCATTCGAGAATTGTTGCAAAGTCCATATTTATGTTGTCAACATTTCTCCCTCGTTCTTTTCTGATTTGCCTGGCTGGTATTGGAGCCCTGGAAGAGAAGGCGGTATGGAGGGTACTATCATCCGCGATGCTGTGTACTGGACATGAAGTTGCTTCCAACAAATCGTTGATATGGAGTAGAAATGTATGCAGCATTTATTATAAGAGAGTCAGATGAAACATATTGATGATGAAAGAAGACTCGAAACAAAATGAAGAAATATATACTCATGACACTATAAACGTAGCAATTTATTCTCATTTGAATAATTGAAATGATTATTCACATAACTCGTTAATTAGTTGTTTTTTTTTCATTGTTTTTTAAATAAATATCACATATGTTTATATATCCCTATTATAAACAAATATGTTTCTTGGGGTAATAAGGAACAACAACAACAACAACAATACTGATTGGAGTTGCCTCTTATGAGATGTCAAACGTCGGCCTCCTGTCAGAACCGAACAAACTCATGAAAAATGCAAAAGAAAATTATTATAAAGCTTAAATCAAAGAAGCCGATGGAGACATTGAAAAAATTTGGAAAGTAGTGAATGAATTGACTGGTAAAACGGATTCAAAGCTAATACTCAAAATATCGTGTGAGTTGGAAAGCGCAAAGCATCAATGTTTCAAATATGAAAAAATATACAGAGTGTTCCGTTTAAAAAAACATAACTTTGGGTTATATCTGAATAATAACAGCTTATTTTGAAAATATGACTACGCCACTGGATTCCACGTGAAGAATTGTATAAGTGACAGTTCTTACTCTTTTTATAAGTTGAAAAACAACTGAGATACAAGGGGGTCCCAAAATGTGACATTTACAATTTCGCCCTGTATCTCAAAAAACGAAGTGGGCTATGAAAATTTTGTTTGCGGCATCGTGAGTTTCACAAAAAAGTAGACAACGTTCGCGAGAACCACAAATCTCTATTTCTGAAAATAAGTGGGATATCCCGTATGGACATCGAAAATGGGACAGCCTGTACATTTCACTTGGTATGAAAAGAATTGGATCGGAGACGTTTGGGGCATATTAGATTCATAATAGATACATAATATTTCATCTAATGGATGTAGCAAATTTGGAATATCTGACCAGCCGAACAACGAAGATACGTTTCAAGTCACATGGTATACAGGGTGATTCATTAAGAATGGGAAATCTCTGAACTACAGATAATAAACACAAAAATAATGAGATCTAGCCCAATATGCCTGATGTTACTGGTTTAGGAGATACAGGGTGTTCTAGGGGCATGAACATGAAAACTTGTATTTCTAGGTTTTCTGACATGAGGAATATGAATTTGCAACTTATTTTGGCATAAAATCTTCTCCTTAAGCACCCTGTATCTCTTAAACCAGAAATATTATACAATACAAGGCATGTTGGGCTAAATCTTCATATTTGGGTATTTACTATCTGTAGTTCAGAGATTTCCCATTCTTAATTTTATAAATAAAATCATTGAAATGTCATAAGTGGAAAATGAATCTCTTAAACAGCGAATAACACAAAAACTGTTGAAGCTAGACAATTTGATAAAGAGTTCATTTTTCATTTTCAGATTTTCCACTTATTTCGATCGTCAATGAATTGACATAGAAGATATGTACATTATCATTGTGCCACTAGCGCCCTCTATGAACAATCACAAAATGAGTTGCAAATTCATATTCCTCATGTCAGCAAACCTAAAAATACAAGATTTCATGTTCATGCTGTTGAAACTAACAAAGTTATTGTGGAATTTTGAAATGAAATCTCCCCCTAGAACACCATGTATCTCCTGAACCAGCAACAGTCTCATCAGGCATATTAGGCTGAATCTCATTATTTTTGTGTTCACTATCTGCAGTTCAGAGATTTCCCATTCTCAATGAATCACTCTGTATAAATTCCACCACCTACCAGTCGAAATAAAATACACATTCTCCACATTCCCCCCAATCCTCGTCACCACATCAGAAGGCAGGAAAGTCTCCGACTTCATATGAGTAAACAGCGTGCCAAGTATAGCCCTGGGCAAAGTATTCAAAACAGAAGCCTTCTCAATCAACTTCTTCGCCCCGAACAAATACAGCTCCACCCTGAGATGCTCGGACAGCGTGTTCAGGATCTGGCTCTCATTGAAGTACCGCTTCTGCAACTTGAACTCGTAGTACTTGATCAGCCGCGTTCTCAAATCTTCCGGGAGATTCTTCGAGCTCATGTATTCCTCCAGCTGCCCCATGTACTGCTCGTACTTGCTCTCTGATACCCCCACTACCCCGAACATCTTCAGCAAATCAGCGATCACGAAAAGGGTGTACAACCGCCCGAAGACAGTGATGACGGTGAGGGTGATCTCTTCGTTGGGTTGCCGTACGACGTACCGTTGGTGGGAAGCCCCGAAGAAGTAGCAGAACACGATGAGGACACACTCGGTATACAAGCGAATGAATGGGACGTGTTCGACATCGTTCACCTTCGCTTGGACTAACCAAGAGTCTGGAGGAAAGTCCCCAGCGTAGAACAACATTGGTATTGAGAACAAGCAACAAGTGAATAAGTGGATGATAATGGTGATGACGATGACGTGGAACAGAAAGTAGTAGAAAGGTTTGGAGAAACGGAACATCTTGGTGATATCTCTGAGCACCCTCAAGAAATAGGTGAACCTGACGAAGTAAGCTACGGTAGCTATGGCAGTAGTGGCATAATTTATTCTGTAGTAATCGCCGAAAAGATCACGATCCTCCAACCAGAAATATGCAGCATCGTCGAAGAACACAGCTATCAGATCGAAAACGAAGAACGTGGTCAGATAGTGCCAGATGATTCGTTTGGGCTTGATGACGATCTCTTTCTTCTTATGATCCACATAACCCAGGAGGAAGAACGACAAGAAAACGATATACTGGATATGGTTGATCATGGTGCTGGCAAAGTTTAGGAATGGATTCATCATGAAGTTGAAGCCGTTGACCACTGGTATGCTGAAGTACTGCCAGAACCACGAGACGAAGAACATCAGCTCCAGAGTGTCGTTCAGCTTACTGAAGGGGTGTATCACGAAGGGATGAGGGCTTCTTGCGTGTCTTTTCTGCTCTAGTAGCATGGTGGACTTGTTCCTGAAGAATTCTTTGCTTTTGATGTTCTTCACGTCCATGATGAAGAATTTCCGGAGGTATCTGAGGACTCTTAGTATCCATGGGGCATTGGGTCGAAGGGGATATAGACCCACGTCGATTGCTTTGGTTGAGAGGGTACATTCGTGCACCTCTTTCATCTTTAGATCGATCTGTCAGTAGTTTGACAAGCAGAGAAGCAAAGGCTACTCGTTTAGGGTGGAATGCTGACTGAACTGCTTAAGACTCAAAACGTGATATCGACATTTTTTGATCATATCTCAATCTCCATAGTTTTCGACTGCCTCAACCTATGAAAATGATTGTTGCATTTCCTCAGAATGAGATTCGACAGGATGATAATCATGCCTGTGCAATTTTTTGAAAATTTCAAAGATCTCTTGTTTTAAATTTGCTTTTGTAATGAAGAACATACCAAAAATTCAGCGATTTTCATCGAGAGCCATTTTTCCTATAGTTTATTGCGGGGTTCTTTCACTTCCTTTTCCGCCTGTCTCTTGGACCGCATTTAGAACTGTTTAGAACAATTTGCCCTTCTGTTTTCATCATTGGACAATTTATATATCACGATGTATGCCGACGACACATTTTTTTATTTATGAAAGTCAACTAGAAATATAATTTTTTTGCGATTTATCCATATTTGGTGTGCAGAAGGAACAATATCATTTAAAATAATGGCGTGTGTAATGTCATTCAAAAGCTACATCGTGTTCAAAAGCAATATGTTGATATTTGACATTCCGTATCAGTATTTTTTTTAATTAGATGGCCGTCATCTGGTATGATTTTTTACTAAATATGAAAAGCTCGCCCTAAAAATTATATTTTGTATTGAATTTTGACAAAATAAGAAGAGCGAGTTGCTGTAAATGCATCCAAGACAGGGGGAAGAGAATGCGAAATTTCGAACTTTTTCATGAAATATCTCGATAAATAGTGGTTTGTTCACATTTTTATTATGAATAATAATGTTTTTAAAAAAATACCATGCATGCATGATAAGTGCAAAATTACCCCAATTTTTTTCTGTGATGAAATACATTTCGAAACATCTGTTATCTCGAAACATTTTTGGAATTATTGGACACTCAAAACTGGAAAATGAATATTTTTGAAGAATAATAAATAATTCGATGCTTGAATATCTATTGGCTGTGTTTGTTATTCTGGTTCAAACGGTAAAACGGTAGTTGAAAACCTTGAAATGATGATCAATATACAGGGTTTTCAAACTTGAGTCGGCACTATTGCTAAGATGTTTTTTATTGGATCTACAAAGTCGGTTAAATTGACAAACTAGTAGTAGTTTTTTATTCGATTACGATGATGAAATCGAAATGAAACTTGAACATCGCGTCAACAAGTTATGTCTTAAAGTTCAATATTCACAATGGGAGACACACTATACAATAGAAAATTCTATTCTGTCTCAAACTTTTTTCCTAAGTTCAAAAATGAGTGAGCTATCGACAATTTCTTTTTACATTATAGTTAGCAATATAGAGGGGTAGTTACAAGTATAACCCATACCTCGATCATCTTTGACTAACACAATGATGATGACCTCCTACTAGGTTTTCATTTAGATCGACAATGGCTTAGTCATTTCTGAATTAACGATGAAATATTATGAGATAGTTTTTGTTCATATTCCAATTTCCCATTGATTAAGAATATTGTATACTGATGGGTGTCACATTTAAAAAAATACCAAATATCTTTTGATATATAACTCGCCAACGCGTTGTTTTTCTTTCTTTTTCTATCACATCATCGTGATCAGCGAAAAAAATATTTTTTTTCTCGCTTGGAGCGCACGAAAGGAAATCCCTATAATGTTCGAAGAACATCGTGCGTTTCTAGGAAGGATAGGAACAGGAGGTAGGTATTGGATTTTTTCTTGAACTTCTGGATATTATATGTTGTTGGGAATACTTCCTCAGGCAATGAATTCCAGAGCCTAGCGTCAAATTAATTTCAAAAACTATCAATTGTATTTTGAATTAGTCATTTTGATTTGAAAAAATATAAAAAGTATTTCCAAATTATCATTTCGATTTCAAAATGCTTCATTTGTATTCCGAATTAAGCATTTTTATTTCAAAACGTATCAAATGTATTTCGAAATTATCAATTCGATTTAAAAAGGCGTCAATTATATTTCAAATTAGTCATTATTTCAATTTGAAATTCCATCATTTCCATTTCAGAACTAATCATTTCTATTGATGATGTTACAATGAATATTTGAAATACAAATGATTATTGAAAATAATTTGATAATTTTGAAATCCAATTGAGGATTGTTGAAATTGGAATGACTAATTTGAAATAAAATCGACGCATTTTGAAATTGAATTGATGATTTTGAAATATATTCGATACATTTCAAAATACAATTGAACGATTTGGAATACAAGTGATGCTTTTCGAAATCCAATTCACAATTCGGAGAAACAATTGACCATTTTTGAACTAAAATTGGAAAAGTGGTATTCTGCCCATTTAACCGGATTTGTTGCTCCAATATATATAACGTTATAAAGTTAGCAATAGTGCCGACTCAAGTTTTAAATTAATCGATACAGGGTGTTAATTACTTATCAACGAACAAGCACCTTTCAAGATAATGATATGGATATGACCATGTTCCGCCAGAACAATTTCCTTTGTTTTCTCTATCGTATGTCTCTGTCAAATTTTAACACATTCGTGGTCAAGCTGAATGACTTGTTTGTTCTTTATAGTTTCCAGTCACGCATGGAAGGGTGTTCTTTTTTGGCTGACGCCCTTTTTTGGGGTTTTAATTGAATGTGCAGATGATTACCTGTCCACATTACTTTGATAGAACACCTAAAGGATAAACTTAGGATTATCCACAACGACATCGGAATAATATTTATTTATTATACAAGGGAAAAAAGTTGTAGACAATGTGCCCTAATCCCACCATGATACATGTTTTGCTCATCTATGAACGTCCGACAAAATTACAGAAGTCATAGATAATTTCGGTGCTTCTGTCCACGCCAGGGTTCGGCTGTCAACCCCAAATCAATGCGAAAAAATTCAAAAATCTCGAAGAAAATTTTTTTGTTCATTATTTTTATGTTCTGGTTTCCCTGAGAACCAAGATAAAATAAGGTAGGAATTGGTGTTTTTATTATATTTCTGGAGGTTATATGCGTCGGGGAACACCTTCCTTGGCAATGTGCTCCAGAACCTCGCTGTTCGTTGGATGAACGAATCTTCGGAAAGAGATGTCTGCAAAGTGACCACGAAGGGATGCGAAGCCTCAACTCGACGGGTTAATCTCGCGGGGACTGCCAAGGGAAGAACAATTGTTGATACTTCAGAAGAGCATCGTCCATGGAAATATCTATAAAATAGAGCCAGATCGCCGACTTTTCTACGGTGTTCCAGAGAAGTGAGTGAGTTTGTGAGCGAGGCATCACTCACGAGAGGAATTGCCCTTTTTTGGACAGAATCCAACAGTTTCAGGGTATGTTATTGGGTGCTGCACTTCAAATATGGGAACAGTATTTGAGGATAGGTCGGATCTGTGCCTTATAGATCATATGCAGCTGACTGGAAGTGAAATAGCTCCTGGACAGAAACAGGAAACCAAGTTTTTGGAATGCACTTTTAGCAATAGATCTCACGTGATTTTCTCAATGAATATGAATATGATAGATGACAGCATGCTATTGTAGAAATCTCATGACAAAATAAATAGGCTAAGCTTGAAATTGAAATAAAAACGGACCCCGCATACCCTTCCCTGGAGCCGAGTAACAATGTTTATTGATTTCAAAGTTCACATTCCCGACCCCCACGTGATAAACCGAGGCTGAACCGATTTATTCTTTTTTTCCCAGTTACCTGCTATTCCCTTATCAGCCAGTCGCCGACACCGTTCAATATTAGAACGTATTATTTTTCGACCAATACTCCATCGAAATTCATTGGTCAAAGCCATCACGATTCGAATGGGGTGAAATCGAGGACTTCCGGAATTGATTGGTCCCTGTTGGGTCGTTTTTGGTAACAAGTTTTATTGGAATGGCAAGGATTTCATCAACTCTTCACAGAAGTACTACCAGAGACCCAGCCAGGGTAAGGGATTTTTCTAATAATAAATTTATGAATTAAATATTGTCAAGTTCCGGAGCATCGGCTGGGGATAGTCCTGCACGATTCACTGTTGCTTTCCAATTAACAGTGCTGCTCCTAAGGTGGCACATGGAGTTAGTAACAAAGTCTAGACAGAACACATAGGGAGACATTATGATGATGTGGTTGTGAGCATCAGAGGAAAAGTAGGACGGTGTATATAGGTGGGTGAGGAGAACTACCAGCTGCCACTCCCACTATAACGAATTCTATTTTTGTTTCCTTGAAAAAAATTAAACAGCCTTACAGAGATCGGCAGAGTATTGATTACTTGTGTGGATTGAAACGATATGAATATTGAAGGAAGTATTTAATTGATGAATATAACATAATAATTATCAAGATAATCTCAATAAGTATTCAAAGACCTAAGGTGAAGGTATTTTAATACTCCAGAAATACACAGCCAAACTCTTTGGATATCTTGACTACTTTTTTTTAATGGCTGCTCCAAGATGGCGGACAAGATTTGGTCCGATTCCATTCAAAATTGGTAAGTGGGGGTTTTTGAGGTCGGAGATCATGATTTTTTTGTTAAAATTTATAAATTAGAGATGGCGGCTTCCAAATGATTTTTTGTTTTTGTATAAATGACGATAACTCCGTTGTTATCAACACAAAACTATTTCTGTGACATATCATCTGTAAGAGAAAAAAAGTTATTTTTAACTAAGTCATAGTGAGCTATGACCTACATTTGAAAAACTAAAGTTGGTGCTGATATCTCAAATTCTAGAAGAGTTGGTATAAATTTCATATTTTTTTCGAAATCACTTCGAAAAACTGCCATGAGAATGTGAAATGCCTATTTGAATATTTTCATAAATAAAGAAGTTACGGAGGAGACATGAAAATGACCAAAATCTGTTTTTTGCGTATAAAACAAAAACGAATAGATTTCATCAAAATATTTTTCCACATTATAGTTGGCCTTGACAAACTCCACATTTGGTGTCATTTAACCGACCTCGT